GTTGGCCCAGCGCAGGTAGGCACGCACGCACGTGGCTCTCAGATTCTGGAGCACCCTGCGCGCAGGCTCACTCAGATCAAACTGTCCCCCGATTGACCTGACCACGACAGCAGAAGGCGGAAGCTACAAACGCTGGCACAAGCAGAGTGAGGCACGACTTTCTGTGCACCTTGGGCCATACAGAGCAGCGCTGATCCGGTGCAAAGTAATTGAATCACAATGGACAGGCCTTACGCGAGGTCTGAGGCTATGCGCCAAACATACATATTGTCACGGACACCTGCACACCAAGTGGAAGCGGTTTGTGATAGACAGCAGTGGCTGTACGAGCAGCCTTTTGACCCAGGATATGCCATTTTTGCTTCTTGTCTCCGTGTAAATTTGTGTCGCACTCCCCGCTTCTCCCTCCTTCCGCGCATCTCTCCCAGCTCTTATCGAGCGACGTGTATTATTACTGCTGAGCGGCGGCTGCCCTAGCTTGCACTCGCTCAAAGAACTCGCTGACCTTCCTCTCAACACCGCGCCTATCGCCAGTCTTTGACTCCAGAATAGTGATGATCTCCGACGGCTCGAGCTGAGTAGCACCCGCTGCTGGATGCGCTCCTTGGATCAGAGCAGCAACCTCGGCCTCAGATGGAAGGGCGTACTGATTGTGCGCCGGCTCCCAGGCCAGAGGACCGACGCCTCGGATTTTGGCCTCGTACGCAGCTCGGTCCTTCTCAGATGGGAAAGTCTTGGGTTGTGGCAGCCCGCTCAAGAAAGGCACGTCGATCTTGAGTCCGGCTTTTCTTGCTTGCTCCTCGTTTCCAAAAAAGAGGTCATTGACGTGCTCATCCTTCACACTCTCAAGATCCGAAGGATCCCAAGCTGCTCTTCCTTCGCGACGTTTGCCCGTGTTCGGATCTTTCGTCAGGACGTGAGTGACTCCGGTGTAAAAATCACGACCGGCAGACAGGTCGCAGAATGCAGTAGCGAGTCGCATGTCGAAACGAAAGGCCTCGGCGATGTCTAGACGGCGGGCGGCAGTGATCGCCTTGAGGGAGACCTTGATGCTACGCGGTGACTTGGACTGCAACGTCTCGAGCGTCTTCTGAGCCCATTGAGCTACTGCGCCGGACACCGACGTCACGCCAAGGCCGATGAGCTGTTTCGCCGTTTGGGTGTCGTCCGAGCCACTGGAAAGCTCTTCCAGCGCTGCGAAGATCTGCTCAGCCTTCTCGAGGCCGAAGACGTGATCAAGGGCAACGCGTCTGGCGCCGACCAGGGGCGTGTCAGCAAAGATTTGAGGACCCTTTTCGTTGTCCGAGGCGGCGAACGGATCGACAGTGTACTCTGTCAATGCACGCGCGACCTGCTCAGTGGTGGCATTGATGGGGAGAGTGCGCAGCCGGTCCAGTGCTTCAGATAGGAGGCGTTTTGGAATAAAGTGCGTCGCCAGTCCAGCCAGACTGCGAGCATCAAGCTTGTCAGTAGGGCGTGATGGCCAGTCAGCGTATCAACAATGCCACTCACTATGCTTCCTCGCCAGATATTTGGGTGCCAGTCGTGCCGAGGTAGTAGCCGACGCGACCGTCCAGTCGAGAAAGTACCCTGGTCACACCCACATCCGGCCAGTACCCAATGCCAGTCTCGGGCATGGCAAATCGTGTGCTTTCCGTGGCAATGCGAATGGGTGCGTGAACCGAGAGACCAACTCCGCCTCCCACTACAAGGCGCCCGTGGAAGGACGAGCGATGAGTCAACACGCATACAGAGCTCGTCCACCTGCACACACTCACTGGTGATGCCGTCCATGACGGACACAAAAGTCTTGTTGGTGCGCTTTTGCAGCGTAGCAATCGCAAAGTCGACCTCGAACTCGGCTTTGAAGAATGTGAGCGCTTGAGCCCGCACGTTGGGGTCCTGCGAAGCCGCAGCTTCGACGACGCTCTTGACGTCTCCACCAGAGCAGAGACCCCGGCCTACTCCGCGCAGCAAGATGATCGGCGCATCCGTCTTGGAGAGGTTCTGGGAATGCCATGCTCGTCAGCATGTGGCGCTTGGCAATGATGTAGACAAGGTCACTTACGTGCAGAGCCTCGCCAATCAGCGTGACCATGTCAAGGTCGAGGGCGTTGAGCGCTTTCGGCCGGTTGAGGACGATGGTCCGAAGCGGACCTTCGCTTAGTTGCTGTACTTTCGGCTCCTTCCCCGATTCCCCACCTCCAGTCCTGCTCGCTGTAGCGGCCTGTTTTGCTACAGCAGCGCCGGCTGAGCTCGGGTGGGAAGAGGAGGAGGCGCTCCTTCCCCTCCCACCAGGGGCGCCAAAGGCTTGCATAGCTGGCGGACCTCGCGGGTTGCCAGAGAGGTGAGAAGAGATCTGGGACAGCCTTCGAGACATGGGTGGCGTC